GTGACCTTCAAATGACTATCCAAGGTCAAATCTAAGGTCACCGTCGGATTGCCCGGGAAAAATCCTACAACTTTTGTCTAGGTCATTTTCCTCTGTGATGCGTATTTTTCAAATTATCCAGCCGTCCCGGAACTTTTGACACACGCTGTATATATATATATATATATATATATATATATATATATATATATACATGTGTTGACACAATGTCAAAATTAAAATTAAGCATAATGTCATGCTATATCGGCAGAATATATAATTTGTCAAAAATTGTGAACTCATTTATAACCATGATTGTAGAGATGTGATAAAAATTGAACATGCGCTGCCGTCTTAAAAGCTAACACAGCAGAAATACATCATGATCTGATATCATAAAATAAGAATCACAATAATATCAAGAATATATTATATTAATTATTACATAATTCTTTTATTTATTTCTATACAATGTATCTATCTAAGTTTATGTTTTAATAAGATTTTGTCACAGACAAATATAAAGACTGCAAAGCACGACTAACAAAATTATAAATGTGTTGTATTTATTTCTATCAGCTTAATTTTTCTGATACCATTCGAACAGAGACTTCGGAACATTAAACTGATTGTTAAAATTTAATTATTTAATTATTTTAATTATTATTTAATGTACATCTTATATAATATCCCATTTAGCATGGAGACATCTTATAGTAGCTCTTTATGAGTTACATAAATTTTTATGAGTTCCACTATTTTCCTCAAAAAAATGCAAAGGTGCTCGGATTGTGAACTTATGCGCCACCTAAATGGACACTTTGTGAGCTAGTCATAATAAGTTCTTTAAGAATAGTATTATGAACTTATTCTGAGGAGATCGTAGCAAAGTTAGTTGTGCACATTATTGCAAATTGTAAAAATTTCGATAATTAAGAAAATTTGTGAAATTGATAATAGGTTTTTAATGATTTTCTAAATATTCTATAATTATTTTTAATTCAGTTTGTCAGAAATTAAACTGATAAATAGTTATATCAGCAAGAGAGCGGTTCACATACAATTATGCTGTGTAGCACATGTATGTGGCTCTCCCTGTTTGTATATAGCGTGTGAGCAGTGTGTCCTCTTTCTGGCACTACTGTTCATAAAAGAAAAAAAAATATACTTTAAATCTTATGTGTTTATTACTAGTTAGTATTTAAGTGGTATTTATATACATTTCATGATAAATATTGAATACGAATTAAGTTAAGAGTGACTCGCCGCGTAGTGGGAAGCAAAGAAACACGTACCACATTTCTGATATCAAAATGATATTTTTCTGACCACTGTATGAATGTTATAACAGGTTCATATGTGGGAACTCATAATCAACTGCTTATGGTTTAATGTTCAAGAGTTTCAAAAAGTAATATTTTTGGATCACATCTTGAATTCATTTAATGCAAATTATAAAGAGGTCAAAAATATAAGTTCTTTATGAACATATTATGAAAAGTCTGCAGTCTGGGACATAATTATGTAGAATATAAATTATATGACATAACAAGATACATTTTATACATTACATTTATGTAAATTATAAATATCTGACGATTTATCGGTAACATTTAATTTATAATAGCTGTATAATAGCTAATATTTAATTTATAATAAATTATGCTGCATTTTTACCGCGTTTTACTGTTACAATGATATCATGCTTAATTTTTGCTGTTTTTTTATTAAAATTTGGGACATGGCAAATCCTATTCGATATTTGTTGTCATATTGTAATAGCAGGTAATGCTCGATTTTTATTGTATTTTTATTTTCATCAGCAGCTTATTCTGATAGCTCTTAAGATAGTAAGCAAGCAGTGCTTGCAGACGTAGAAATCTACTGTAAAGTCATGATTGGAGTTGTTGTCATATCTGTTAACATGCTGCTGGCCTTTTGCTCTATCTGGAGGTATGTATATATATATATATATATATATATATATATATATATATATATACCCAGTAAGCAAAATGTTAGCAGGTTGGCAACAGATTGGCAGCAAATTCGATCAGAATCCCACACCAGAACCGTAGCCATCTGTGTCTGCATTAAGTTTTTGTTTTGGCGACAGAGTCTGTAAAACATAATTTGTCAACCGACTGTTAGCAAAAACCGAGCAGGATCTGCGCGTGCAATTTGATGTTAGATTGTCAGCAGAAACCGAGCAGAATCTGCGCATCCAACCTGATGGCAAATTGACAGCAGAAACTGCACAAAATTTGGGCTTACTTTTATTAATGTTATATAAATGCAACAAAATTGATTATTACAGGTGCTAAATAACAATATTATCGGAAAGTTAATTACAATTTTTTTCTAAAATGACATATATATCATGTTATATCGTCAGGGTTGGGAAAGTTACTTTTTAAAAGTAACTCGTTACCGTTATCGTTCTTTTTTCTAAAAAATAACTCGTTACCGTTACTCGTTACCAATTTTCAAAAGTAACTCGTTATCGTTATCGTTACTTAAAAATAACGCGTCGTTACAATTTTGGTTACTTTTTTTAAATATAAGTTTATTAAATATTACAGAGTTTATTTTAAAATAAATGAAAACATTACTAAATTTTATCGAAATTCTTTATTAATTTTTAAAAGAATTTGCTGTTCAACTGTGTCATCATTTAGCTGCCCTCTTTGTGGCGTTAATACAGATCCACCGACACTGAACATCTTCACTAAACTTTTTTTTTCACATCTGTCCAATGACGTGTTTACGTACATGTGATTTTGCATTCCACACTCTTCTTTGAATGAAAATTACACCGAGTAAATTTGCAAAAAGTAGTGATAAATGTAACTGTTAAATTCGTTACTAACGAAATTTGTGAACGTTGTTACAGTTACCAAAAAAAGTAACTGTAACGGTAACGACGTTACAAGTAACGCGTTACTTCCCAACCCTGTATATCGTAATATATGTAATGTAATATATATTATAGTTATATCTCATATAGCGAAGGACTAATTCAATTTAATTAAATTAATAATAAAATAAATGATAAAAGTAAATGTAACTTGTAAAACTGGAGATGTAATTTATTTAGAATTAAATTCTTGTTTTATGTCTCAAATAGACAGTACATGAATAATTTTTCATTTATCATATGGATTCCAATCAGTTTAATATTCTGAATCTCATCTGTTTGTATCAGAAATTAAAGTGATAGAAATTAAAATGATTATTACTATGTTTTTAGTCTTATTCATATTCGCGACTTTATATACAGGGTGTCCCATTTTAATCTATCCAATCGAATATCTCGAAAACCAAGCTTGAAAGAGAAAAATGTTTCAGACAAAAGTTGTATGGTTTCAAGGGAGCCATAAGATGATATCATTGGTTTGACCTTGAAGAGTCATTTGAAGATCACACGAAGGTCACTTCAATTTTTTAAAATAGAACATCCTATATATTTTTATATATTCTTGTAGCTCATCTCGAGATCTTTCCAAAACACTATAATAAAGTATTTCTTCATTGAATACTTTTCGAGTTATGAGGCTTGAAATAATTTCTTAAGTTTACATAAACCATAAAATATCTAGTAAAATATTCATTTTTCGATTATCTTACCTTAATACTTTTATGTACAAAATAATGAGAGGAATCAATTGATGTAAAGAAAACATACAGTTGTTTTTAAGAAAAAATATTTGAATTTGCAATTAACAATTCCATATTTTTTGTTAAAAACAACTGTATGTTTTCTTTACACCAATTGATACCTCTCATTATTTTGTATATAAAAGTATTAAGGTAAGATAATTGAAAAATGAATATTTTACTAGATATTTTATGGTTTATGTAAAATTAAGAAATTATTTCAAGTCTCATAACTTGAAAAGTGCTCGATGAAGAAATACTTTATTATAGTGCTTTGGAAATCTCTCGAGATGAGCTACAAGAATATGCAAAAATATATAGGGTGTTCGATTTTAAAAAATCAAAGTAACCTTTGCATGACCTTTAAATGATTCTTCAGGGTCAAATCAATGGTACCCTCTTATGGCTCTTATGGCCTTGAAACCATACAACTTTTGTCTGAAACATTTTTCTCTCTCGGACTTGGTTTTCGGGATATTCGACTGGATGGATTAAAATGGGACACCCTGTATATTTCTGACAGAAATTAGATTAGGAGAAAGTACAGCTCACGTAAGCGGTAAGTGAAGGAACTATCGAATCATGCAAACCCTGTTCCGTTTCTGCCGTCAATCTGCTATCAGAAATTGTGATTGAACGCAGATCCTGCTCGGTTTTAGTTATCAATCTGCTGTCAAAATTGCGCCGCACAGATCCTGCTCGGTTTCTGCCATCAATGTGCCGTTAGTTACATCAGCAGGCTTTACCCGATTTCTGCCGACAATTTAATATCAAATTTCATTGCGCAGATCCTGCTCTGTTTTTATTACCAATCTATTGTCAAAATTGCGCCGCACAGATCCTGCTCGGTTTCTACCATCAATGTGCCGTCAATTATATCAACTCGGTTTCCATTGATGATCTGTTGTTCAGTTATGTGAACAGATTTTGTTGTATGTCTGCTAACATTCTAACAATATGATCGAACATATCAATTCCTCTATGCAAACTGTAGTCTTTCTGCCTTTAAAATTTGTAATGGGTGTTTGACGAAAATCTGTTCTAACAGATAGCTATATATACCTGGGTATATATATATATATTATTTTCACAATTAATATTTGAAAATTACCTTTATAGTCATACGAGAAACAGACATTTCCAGAGGAACAGAACGTAGTTCTCGCTGGTATAATGTTCCAGCTTTTTCTTCGTCCAATTTATTTTTTCTTGTAGAATCCTTCTGAAGTGCATCCAAAGCACGCTCCAATCGCCCACTACATGCATTCCAATTGCTAATATCAGCATACACGAAAGCAATCGACAGGAGCAATAACCAAATTGTTCCAAACGATCTGAACTGCATCACCTATAGTGTAAGTGTTATAATTCTTTCTATTACATACAGATACAGCATATATAAATAGAAGGTAAATATACCGAATAGGGAACCAGCCCCAATAACCTTAACCTTGACATATGTTGTCAAAGTCCTGAGTAACGTGCAGGAGATTTTAGCTGTCTCGTTGTTTATTAAAAAGTTATATTAACAAAAGAAGTTTTATAAATGGAACCCATGTGAACCGCTTTTCATCTAGCAAAGTGCATGCGTGGACACAGTATGTTCCGCCCTTGACTTAAAATTAACATTTAATTTAAATCAGGAAATAGGTTTGGGTTAGGTTATATCTTTTGAAAATGGAGCTCCCCGCAGGAGGCGGAATACACTGTATCCACGCATGCACTTTGCTAGATGAAACGCGGTTCACATGGGTTGACTGATTTCTTACTTGTACATGATGTAAAAATTAAGTTCCATTTATAAAACTTTTTTTGTTAATAATTTTTTAAACAACGAGCGACGGCCAAAATCTCCTGCACGTTACTCAGGACAGTGACCTTGGCAACATATGTCAAGATCAAGATTATTGGGGCTGGGTTCCCTATTCGATATATTTATCAAATAGAAATTTATCAAGTCAAAAAATTCGCATTAACAATAAATATCTCAATTATAAGTATCTTAGATTATCAGATCTCAGTAGCTTTTTCTTCTTTTATATATTTAATAAACTTACATTGAACGATTCGAAAAAAAAAGAGATTAATCTGACTGAGCAAATGAAAATATAACTGTTAGGTAAATTACATCCCACATATCACAGAACATCGCAACAATATTGCGACAACATTACTGAAATGTTACAATGTTGATGCAAACTCTTGTACTGTATGTGGGAACATACGTGTTATATCCCATCCGGCATCCGGTATGTGATATTAGTGAAACATTACTCTCATATTTCATTTGAAATATTACATTTTTCAACAGTGTTACAGAAATATTTCACGATCGTTTATGCAACACTTCTGCAATGTTTCAATGTCCATAATCATTTCAAATGCAATCTTACAGAACGATTTCATACATTTCGGATTTTAAATATTTCGGAAATATTACTAAAATATTACTTTATTCGTTTCTGATAAATGAATATCTTGAAAATTTATAAAAATATATAAATACACTCGGCAATAAGAATATTTTAGTATACGCAATGAATGAACTGTTTCTCATTTATCCATTTAATTTCAAATAATCTATTTAATATTCTGAATCCCAATAAAGGATCCAGAATATTAAAGAAATTATTTTAAATTAAGTTAATTCAGTTAAATATCACAAATTAAACTGATTAAAATGAAAAAGTATATTTGCATCTTATGTTATATATGGTACTAGTCTTTTAGCGCAATGTGCTTGATTATTTAATGCTTCATCATATGCTTAATAATCGCATAATTTGGATTGTTTCTTTTTGTAACGCACTTTGCAATCGCAATAATTTTGACAAATCTCTTTTCATCACACGCTTATACTCGCATGGCTTGATTGATCTTTTTTAATTAATTTCTTCTAATTAATTATTGTGAATATCACAAAAAAATAAAAGACTTTTTTACTCGATTTAATCTGCTATACTTGCATACGAAAGGTGATACGATTATTGTCGGAGAGACACTCTGTATAACACTTTTATAGTATATTATAGTATATAACATTTTTATAGTATAATTATATTATATATGTATATAAAGATGTATATAAAGATAAATAAATTATATATGTGTACAGGGTGTTTTATTTAACCTTTACACCTCAAATAATCCGTTATTTTTTCATATACAAAAAATGATAAAGAAAGAAGTTATATGAATGAAAGGGACATAAGATGATAATAATTATTTGATCTTGGATAGTCTTTTGAAGATTACATGAAGATCACCTTCAAATTCTTAAATGGAAACCCACATTTTTCATTGCATATTTTTATAGCTTACCTCGAGAGCTTTTTAAAACACTATAATAAAGTATTTTTTATTGAATACTTTTCGAGTTATGAGGCTTGAAATAATTTTTTAATTTTACATAAACCACAAAATATCTAATAAATATTCATTTTTCGATTATCTTATCTCGATACTTTTATGCACAAAATAATGTGAGGACTCAATTGGTGTAAAAATAACTATATGTTTTTGTTACATCAATTGATTCCTCATATTATATTGTGCATAAAAATATCGAGATAGAGAAATATATCGAGATAAGATAATCAAAAAATGAATATTTTATTAGATATTTTTCGGTTTATGTAAAATTTAAAAATTATTTCAAAGCTCATAACTTGAAAAGTACTCAATAAAAAATACTTTATTAGAGTGTTTTGAAAACCTCTCAAGTTAAGCTATAAGAATATGTAATGAAAAATGGGGGTTTCCATCTAAGAATTTGAAGGTGATCTCCATGTAACGTTCAAAAAATTATCCAAAGTCAAATAATTAACGCCAATTTATCCCCCTTTTATTCATACAACTTCTTTCTTTACCATTTTTTTTGTACATATAAAAATAACAGAGTTATTTGAGATGTGAGAGTTAAATGAAACACCTTGTATATAAAAATGAAAAAATTATATTATTATATAAAATATAACATCTGTTATATTACCAAGTAACATATGTTACTTCTATGTTATATTATATTTATATTTTATGTTTATTGGAATAATTACTAATTAAATTAAGAAAAAGAATCTCTTTATAATATAATAAAAAAATAGAGGAAATAATGCACGTAGTGTATTAATTTATTTTAATTAAGCCGATATTTAATTAATAGAATGAAATAAAACTTAATATTTTAAGCGATATACAGCAATACACACTATGATTATTTACACGTCCGTCTACCTTTCCCATCATCAAAGTATCTCCCAAGGCATATCCTGTAGAAACTCGGTGAACTCAAGTCGCCGAAACAGAGCATGAAAGCGTCTCCATTCTGCCTATCGTAAATGACAATTGGATTGTGTGAAACTAGGAAGTATGATTAAAATTTTGAGTAACTTGTTAAGAATAATTGTAATACATCGAAATGATATCAATCTATAAATATGACGAAAATATTATTGCAATAAAAAAAAGATAAAAAATAAATATTAATAAAATAAAAGATTTAATAAATAAAAAAATTAATTTATATAATAAAACAGCATATATATTGTATTGTATATTTTAAATAATAAAATTCATATACAATTAAGATATACAAATCTGTTAGAAAATCCGACATGCAACATAAAAATATTAAATTAAAAATATTCAATGTTTCCTGATTTCTAGTTGGCTAATGGACAATATCATTACAACAACGCACGTAGCATTGTGTCATGTTTTTACAACTTACACAGCAGAATCACAAATTATACGAGTTCTTGCTATGGCGAAATTGCATTGTTCGCAATTGTATGCTAATGTAGAATAAGTTTTATTCTAGTGCACTCTCACGCTTCATCAATCATCGTGTTCAACAGATGCAATTTAGTGATTAATTTAACATTCACTCAGCTTATTTTTTCTCTTTTTTAATTCTTCAATATATTGATCAAATACGTTAAGGAATTTATATATACATAAAAATGTGAATATACAGAATCATATAAATGGTAATATTGCTGCAATATTTTATATAAGGGATTGAACAATGATACATATAACTAGATTAAAATCATTTAAGCAGTTTTCCTACAGAAAATAAAAGTTAAAAAGTTTTACAAAAATTTTTGAAAAAATTGACAAAAGACATCTTTAACATTTTTTCTCATTTCAATACTATTTTAAAATGTTATAAACTTTATTAAGAAATTAATTATTACCTTAAAAAAGAAAGAAAAATAATCAAAGTCATCGTATAATTTTGCTGTCAATTAGTTAGCTTTACACTAAAGATTAAATGTGTAGAGTCATTAACTAAATTCTGATTAAAGTAATCGATGATTAATTTTCAATGTTGCTATTTTTAATAGTCTCTCTCCCCTTCTCACTCTCTCGCTCTCTCTGTCTCTCTTTCCTCCCTCTCTCCCTTCTCTCTACCTCTATCTATCTATCTATTTATCTATTTAGCTACCTATTTATTTATCTATCTATCTAGCTATCTATCTCACTTTCTCTCTTTCTCTTTTTAATACAAAATGTATTTGATTTGACATGAGTTAATCAATAATTAAATTAGTCGAAGTGATTCTTATAATTAGTCCATCTATAAGATATTTTTATAAAGTTAAATATATTTTATTAATATATATATCTTATAAAATAATTTTTATTTTATATAAAATATAAGCAATCTCTAAAACTAAGAAAAAATTTTTTTAAAATCAGCATTTTTACAAAAAGATTTAATTTTTTTATAAAATGCCAAATTATTATAAATTGATATATTATAAAAAAGCTATATCATTTATAAGAAAATAATAGTTTTTTATAGAATATTTTTATAGAAAAACTTTTATAGAAAAATTGAATTTATATAAAAAGCCGACAAATGAGACTATAGGAAAAGTATTATTAACATGAAAAGTTTAGAATTAATCCATATCATATTATGTGATATGGATTAATTTTAAATTGTTAAAAATGTTTTCCTTTAAATTTATTTCTTTTCTTCGCATATTTTTAATCGCTCTAATTAACATAAAACATATAATTTTATGATATATGTATATATATATATATATATATATATATATATATATATTTAAATTTGTATTTTATATTATAATTTTAATTTTAAAAAATTATATACTTACTTCGTGGAATATTCAGATTGATTTTGTTTTCTGATGACAGCAGATGAATCAGCTGATGTAACGCACACAAAATCGCTCGTACTTCTTCGCATCGAGACATCGAAGAACAATATGCGATTGAAGAAAGTGCTGCTACTCGTGCGCCGCTCAGATACGCAGCGATTCGCACTGAAATCATTCTTTCCTACTTACAAGCATTGCGTGCTACCATGCGGTAAGTGAGAGGTAAAAAGTGAGACGAACTCTACCTGTATGTAGGCTACTGTACTTTATTTTAATTAATGTTGCAGAGATATATAATATTTATAAATTATAAATTATATATCGGTTAACTACTTTAATAAACAAACAGTTTAAAGATGAAAAAAATCTTTTTTTCTAATAAAAAAAACAAACATTGAAAAAAATATTTTTTAAAATTATTTTTTAAATATATTATTAAGAAATATATATTATTTAAATATATTTCTTTATTATATTTTTTTGTTAATATAATGAGAAAACTAAAGTTTTTGCATTTTTAATTTCTCTTTTTTTTGAAAGTAATTTTAATGAATTAATGAGATATTTGCAGCAAATTAAATATTACATAAATCGAATTATTTTCAGTTAGATACATAATAAACAGTTTTATTATGCATTTAATTAAAAATTATCTGAATTATATCATATTTAGTATTTTAATCGCAAAAAATCTTAAAAGATTAAATTACTTTAGAAAAATTATTTTCTGAAAAAGAAAATAAATTAAAAATATATAAATTTTTTCTTATTATATTAAAATAGTAACTATATTTTTAAAAATTGCGAATTGTATTTTTGTATAATAAAGACAATTCACATTCAAGTTCAATTTTTTATTTGTTTTTGGAGAATTTAATTAATATAAAGTAATAGCTATATAATTATGTAAATATGTAGTCAATTAGAGTGCAATCTACATTTAAAATAATTAGTTTAAATCTATCATCTAAAAAATGAAAAATAATAAAAAATCAATTTGTAACAATCAAAATCTAAAACCGTTAGATATCTGAAAAAAAAAAACAAAATTTGAAAAGAACAAGACATGTTTGATTTTATAAAAAAATGTTCTCTTTTTCTACTTACATTTCTACAACAATCATTGTAATGAAAAGTTCGACACAAAATTGGAATATCAGCCTATTATAATAAAAAATATTTTAAAAAATCAAGCATATATTGTTATGACTACAATATATTGTTTATAATTACATTGTTTCCATGTTTTCGGATTAGAAGAGAAGAATCAACAATAACGTTTAACAAATCTCAAAATTAGATATTTTAAGGCGTACGATTCAAATCGAACTATTACATTCGAAAAATGATCCAGTTGATCTTATGTTTTGTTTCAAATATTTGTTCAAATGATTGTCTTTTTTTTCAAAGAATTAAATCTTTGTTATTTGGAGAAAAGGGAAGGAAGGAGAGAAAAGACAGAATTTTATATAATCTTCAACACAAGGTGAGTAAAAGAATCATATTCACTTTTTGCATCTATATTATTTGTAATTCTTATACTGACTAAAACTTAAATACGAGATATATAATTCATTAGTGTGTCGCTATATATACAGGGAGTCCCATTCTAAAGGACCCACTCAAACATCTCAGAAATACTATGTTAAATCGAAAAATGTTTCAAACAAAAGTTGTGTAGCCTCAAGGGGACCATAAGATGGTGACAATGATTTGACTTTGGAAAATCATTTGAAGGTCATGTGAAGGTCAACTTTAAAATCTTAAATTGAAACCTCCATTTTTTATATAATATTCTTGTAGCTGACCTCGAGAGCTTTCCAAAACACTATAATTAAATGTTTTTCATTAAGTACTTTTCGAGTTATAAGACTTGAAATAATATCTTAATTTTACATAAATCGCAGTATATCTAGTATATATCTAGTAAAATATTCATTTTTCGATTATCTTGCCTTAATACTTTTATGTACAAAATAATGAGGGAAATCAATTGGTGTAAAAAAACACATAGTTGTTTCAAAGAAAAAAATATGTAATTGTTAATTGCAAATTATATATTTTTTCTTAAAAATAACTATGTGTTTTCTTTACACCAATTGATTCCTCTCATTATTTTGTACATAAAAGTATTAAGATAATTGAAAAATGAATATTTTACTAGATATTTTACTATTACGGTTTATGTAAAATTAAGAAATGATTTTAAGCCTCATAACTCGGAAAGTACTTAATGGAAACTAATTTAATTATAGTGTTTTGGAAAGCTCTCGAGATAAGCTATAAGAATGTGCAAAAATATACAGGGTGTTCCATTTAAAAAATTCAAGGTGATCTACAAATAACCCCCAAGGTAAGTTCAAGGTCAAGTTCAAGGTCACCAGATGATAGTACTTTACGAGCCCTACAATTTTTGTTGGAGTCATTTTCCGTGAAAGTGCGTTTTTTTTTAGATAATAGGGGGGTCCCACACTTTTCGAATACCCTGTATATAGTGTTCCAATAATATTTAATATTTGGTCCTTATTTTCAATACAATTCTGTGTTTCTGAATATTGCAAAATTTTTGTACTAAAAAGTTTTTTAAAAGCACGCATAAACTGTATAGGTGTCGGATTAAAGCAATTGCCACCTTGTTGTCTTATAGTGCCAAAAAAATTTTCTAAACAATCCTGATTCATTCTACGTGTTTGAAGAAAAGGAAAATTACAAGATTTTAATTTATCCCATAATGCATTATACTTCTAATAGTGATTTGCCAGGATTTCAAGCATTTAACTTTAACATGCAAACCGTTGGCATTATAAACATTAATATGTTCTAAGAAAAATAGCATTTCTTTTAAATATTTAATTTGTTTTTTACTCCCAGTAAAATTTTTTCCATATTCTTTTGGACTATTTACAGTTGAGGAATTTAGTAGTCAAATAATTTATCGAAATGATCTATTAAATCTATAGTGCCAACTGCTTCACTTGGAAGAAAACCGCAAGACATTTGTGTGCACATACCAGCAGCTACTCGATTACTGAATACTTGGACAGCATATTTTACCTTCATTCTTTGAAAATTATTCGGTTCAATATGATATTTAGATAATTTAGGAGCCATTTTCATCCATTGTTTAGAGTCTCTCTTGTAAAATTCTACAATATGAGCCTATGATGCTGTTTTATTATTAAATTTAAAATCATATTTTAATAAATTGTTACGCGTCGCTTTGATTAAGTGAGGTGTATCAAAAATATAAGATATTTTCTCTTCATTTACTAAAAAGGTAGAATTTTGTGTTGAAATGCCCAATTCTCGAGATAGCTGCATAAAATTAGACCCCATATTTGTCACTAATGCATGCCCCAAATAGCATGCATATCCAAAAGATGTCCAGGTATCCAGAAAATATCTTTGGGCGATTAGACATCTTCAGGATGTCCTGTTAATATCTTTTGGACATAGGATGCTATATCGGGCACTATAGCACCACAATTTCGCAATTTTATTATAATATTAAATAATATATCTCTCAGAACGTTGCTCCGACATGTCTATCAAACAACATTCTATAAAACAATAACAAACAGGAATCTCCCAATTTCCTGCTATATTTCGTGCCATTACAACTAGTGCACTTTTTGCGGGTTTAGATAATTTCTCATAACCCGTATTTTCGAAACCTATTATTTCATCCCGCGATACATTGTAAAATAAATGAGCCTTTAAACTCATTTCATGTATGCATAATATATAATGTTTTTCAATAGATGCAAGTGATTTTAATTTTGAAGTTAAAGCGTTAAAAATTTTATTATTAACCCGGTATAATATTTCAGGAATTAGTGAATAATTGAAGCGAGCCCACCAAAGGCAAAGCAAATTTTTTTATTAAGTTTTTATAATTGCGCGGGCTACAAAAATATAAAGATAATGCAAACTTTTTAAAATTTATATCTTCTCCTATGTTTATTTTTTGTAAAAGCATCGATCTGAGCAGTTAATAATTTTTCAAAATTTCCCGAAAATAACTTACTGCCTAATTTGCGAATAATATTTACGTCGCTTTCTTCTTCTGCCGATGTCCTCTTCTGCTGCATTAATTTCTTTTTTAATCGTCGAACAGTCTGTTGCAATTTCTTGTTTTGCTTCTTTAGTTTCAAAACTCTTGATTTTAGTTTCTCTTCTCGACTATCCTTCGATGAAATTTTTATTGCAGGATGTACCCAGATAACCAAATCTGTTAGAACAGATTTTCGTCAAACACCCATTACAAATTTTAAAGGCAGAAAGACGACAGTTTGCATAGAGGAATTGATATGTTCAATCATGTTACCAGCATGTCAACAGACGTACAAAAAAATCTGTTTCACATAACTGGACAACAGATCGTCAATAGAAATCGAGCAGAACTTGTTGATATAATTGACGACACATTGATGGCAGAAACCGAGCAGGATCTGTGCTGTGTAATTTTGACAGCAGATTGGTAACAAAAATCGAGCAGGATCTGCGCAATGAAATTTGATATCAAATTGTCGGATAGAGCCTGCTGATGTCGCGGGCCAAGGGGGACGTAGAACTGACCAATTAACTGGCAGGATAGCAGCGGCTGATTGGCCAGTTTTATGCTCCCCTTGCCCCACAAGAGGGGCCAAGGAACGAATCGTTGTCGCGGAATGTAACTAACGGCACATTAATGGCAGAAACCGACCAGGATCTGTATGGTGCAATTTTGACGGCAGATTGATAATCAAAACCGAGCAGAATCTGCGCACACAATCTCTGATAGCAGATTGACGGCAGAAACGGAACAGGGTTTGCATGATTCAATGCAGTTCCTTCATTTACCGCTACGTGAGCTGTACTTTCTCCTAATCTAATTTCTGTCAGAAATATATATAAAGTCGCGAATATGAATAAGACTAAAAACATAGTAATTATCATTTTAATTTCTATCACTTTAATTTCTAATATCTGATACAAACAGAGATCTGATACAAATGAGATTCAGAATATTAAACTGATTGGAATCAATATGATAAATGGAAAATTATTCATGTACTGCCTATTTGAGACATAAAGCAAAAATTTAATTCTAAATAAATTACATCTCCAGTTTTACAAGTTACATTTACTTTTATCATTTACTTTATTATTAATTTAATTAAATTGAATTAGTTCTTCGCTATATCAGATATAACTATAATATATATTACATTAACATATATTATGATAT